GGGGGGCATCTGAGGGACAGAACCTCACATGACCATAGACGGGAGGAGACTGGATAAGCATCTGAGGGACAGAACCTCACGTGAGCGTGGATGACAGGAGACTGGGTGAACGTCTGAGGGACAGAGCCTCACCTGAGTGTGGACAGGAAGAGTTGGTGAGCATCTCAGGGACAGAGCCTCACGTGAGCGTGGACGACAGGAGACCGGGTGAGCATCTGAGGGACAGACCCTCACATGAACATGGATGACAGAAGACTGAGCATCCGAGGGACAGTGCCTCATGTAAGTGTGGACGACAGGAAACTAGGTGAGCGTCTGAGGGACAGAACCTCACGTGAGCATGGACAGGAGGAGACTGTCCACAGGCAACCAGGAGACCGGGTGCGGCCTGAGGGACAGAGCCTCACATGAATGTGGACAGGAGGAGACTGGTGAGCATATCAGGGACAGAGCCTCACATGAGTGTGGACGGGAGGAGACTGGGTGAGCGTCTGAGGGACACAGCCTCACGTTAGCAGGGACAGGAGGAGACTGGATGAGCATCTCAGGGACAGAGCCTCACGTGAGCATGGAGGACAGGAGACTGGGTGAGCGTCTGAGGGACAGAGCCTCACGTGAGTGTGGACAGGAGGAGACTGGGTGAGCTTCTGAGAGAGCCGCACGTGAGCATGGATGACAGGAGACTGGGTGCGCATCTGAGGGGCACAGCCTCCCGTGAGCACCAGCTCTTCTCTGGAGACCTTTGGTCTCCAGATGTGGCTGCTGCTGGTGGCGGTACATTGTAACCGCAGCTGCCTCTGCACTCTCACAACCACTCTTGGAACATCTTGTCTTCAGTGCCCCACATCAGCCTCTGCTTCCTGGCATCTTGATGTTGTCATTGCATGGAACCACTGATTGGCTCCAAGGCAGAAATAATGAACATTGCAAACAATGCCCTGTTCCCAAGAACATTTAAATAGTAATGGTGTTTAAAGAGTAGTGGACACACTTTTGCTGCTCATTTCAAGGGCCTTCAGTTAGGGACATAGGGTGATTAATAGAAATCCTACAGGTAGGTACCCTGACTGGCAGCTAGTGTTTGGTTAGACACAAGGCAGCCGTTAGCAGGACTGTAGTGCTCATGAGAGCCCTGAAAGATGACACGTCAGCCTCTTCTTAGTGCCCCTCACAGGAATATGCACAGCACTTTGAGGAGCTAATTCTACTTTAAGTGACAGTTCCGTTCCTGTATTCCTCCCCACCTGGTCAGTCCTCACTGCAGTGCAGTGATTATAAGAGAATTGGCAAGGCACCTGTCTGACACCTGAGGGGACCCGGCCATTCAGCAGTGGGAGGAATTTCAGCTACCCAGTGGCGGGCAGTGTCCTGATGCAGGACGGCTGTGCCTAGCTGAGCATAACTGGCAGTTTGATGCCAAATGTGGCACTCTCTGAACGGCTTCCCAGTTCTCAAAAACTAGTCTGCAGGTTCCGTAGAAGGGACTGTGTTCTAAGCTGCGCCTACTCCTCCCGTATGGCTTTCCCGCCTCTGCATGCTGCTCTGTCATTCTGCAGGACCATGGGCACAACTGGCCAGCCTCACACGGAGGCTGTCCAGGCCACACCCCTCTAGAGTGCCCCTCCAACGCACGCACGTCTAGAGTCCCCTTCCGACCCACACAGCTCTCGAGTGACTGTCTTCACAGGAAATGCAAGCGTTAAAAGAGCCAGGGACTGGAACTGAAACCGATTTCCGCTCAGAACCTGGCTGTGCCACCAGGTAGCTGCGTCACCTTTCTCTGCCCCTTCACCTTCAGAGTCTTTACCTGTGAAATGCAGCCAACGACTGCTTTGTAGTGCTGGGTGGTGCACGTGGTTGAACCCTTGACTCCGCGCTGAAAGGTCCAAACCTACCCAGAGGCACCTCGGAAGAAAGGCCTGGCCAT